AAAAAAAAAAAAAATAGACTATATTGGAAGGGTCTGGTTGTTGTCAGCCGTTCGGTACGAATCGATAACGAATTTATAGCGCGGAGTGAGGCGGAAGTATAGCGGAAATATGTCGGGTAAATTCATGAGTCAGTGAAACGGCGAGTATGTCAACGTGTTTCCCTAAGGTATTTCTTCGAAGCGAAAAAATTATATCTGATACATATATCCGGTAGAGCTCGATTAAATTTAATTAAATTCAGGAATTGATAAAGGATTAAATTTTCACTAAAAGGATAGCGTTTTTTCCCCAAGAATTGATTCAAGCACTCAACTCGACAAAATGAAAGACTAGATGTAATCAGATTTAAGCAAATTTCATTTGAAATTGAAATGAAAAAGAATAGAAAATAGTTTGGAATAATTTATTTTTTAATATCGTTATTTGAAAAAAATAGATTTTTCATTTGAAATAATAGTCTCAAATTTTTTTCTTTATTTCAAATTCGACAAAAGAATTGTTTCATGTAAATAGATAAAGCGAACAAAGAAATGATATTATTTAAAACAATATTTCAAATATTGCTACAGAAATATATAATAAAAGTTTTAATTTTATAATTCTCTTCTCATTTTCATGAAAATAGTTTGGATTATTGAAATTTTCACTTGAGTTCAATTTGAGTTCCAAAAATATCATAAATTAAATTAATTTCAATTAAGACTCATTTCAATCTTAACAATTCATCGATATTATTTTCATAAAGATAAATAATTTTTTTTCGTTTTTCAAAGTTTGTCTATTTCGTTCAATCTTTTGACTTCTATCTCTTCTTCTTGCCTATTAAAATCAGCATTGAGTAATGGAGAAAATTGATCGTACGAATTTAATCGAATTTTTGTGAAATTTAATCGAGCACCGTTTCCACCGTAATTAATTATTTCCGATTCTCGAGGGCGAAAATCGTTCGATCGAAAGTGAATTGACGATGACCTCTACCCCCGAGTAGAACCGTTTAAATTATTCAAGATGAACCGATTATAGAATGCCAAACACGTTTGGAGACGACGGTCAACGACCGAACGAAACACGAGGAATCCAAGGATGGTTGCAGCACAGGGTAATGAGGCAGAACATGAAAATAAGGTATAGGCGGGTTGAAGATATATGGAACGAGTTATGCAAATTGGACAGTTTGAGAGCATTTCTTTTGTTGAAAATAGAAAAATTCACGGAGAAAAGATTTACGGAAAGTTTAACGAGCACAACGAAATGATTTAACTTTGAAAGAACATAAATTCACATAGATTCTCCGGATCTAACATAACCTCAAAAATAATCTTTCGACGAGATTAAATTGTCAGATTGGATACTATTATATTATTATATTATATTTACATTATTTATATATTATTTCATGTAAAATGACATAATTTCAAATTAAGTATTATAATAACAATAATATAAATTTTGTATCTAAAATTTTTTTCTAATTCTATTTTTAATAAATTTTTATTATTTTATTATGCAAAAATTAAAACTTGAAACTCGTTGAATACAATTTGAATAATTTCTTGTCAATTTTTTGATTATAATATAAAATAATAAAATAAATTGTATTTTAATGAAATATATTACATCATTAAATTAAGTGAGTTTTTAATATACAGATTTGAAATATAACATATCGCGTTAAGGAACTCTTGTTAACAGAGCTGTATAATTAATAGAGCACTTTCGACAAGGTTATATTGAGAGAACAAGCAATCTGTCATTCGAGTGAAAAATTTTAATTGGCGGATACGAAAATAAAAAAAAAGTATGTATAAAAATTAATAGCCAATTAAGAATTTCAATTATAATAATGTTAATATATTTGTTGAATCAATATTATTTTCAATATCAATTTAAATTAAAAGCCTTATTAAGAACTCGATCATTTATCAGTAATAACTTAATAATTTACATCAATTAAATATTCTTAAAAAAAGAATAAAGAAAAAAGATAAGACAGAAAGAGAAATATAATATAATAATACAAATAGAAATAAATTCAAATAAAGATAGATATATATCAGTCAAATAATCTATAGGATTATAAATCGTTAAACCTTCCATTTTATTCATCACTGTTATCGTAAAATGCCAATATATTTCAAAGTAAAATTCTTTTGAGTACAAGTGGATATTACATCGAGAGTGACTATCCGACAATAATTTCACTTTAGAGGAGACCTTTAGGCATAGGTCAATGGCGACGCTAAAAATGCCATTAGGGTGCATTTAAGGTACATTTGAGAACAAAACTTTTAAGAGTATTTCTGGCAAGTGTACAATACCAGAACTTTCACTCCCAACACAATGTCCACTTGCGAAAAATAACTCCCAAGTGTTTCACTCTCAAATTTTACACTTTAATGACAGTTCATATTTTATAATAAAATTTTTGAGAGTTATTCACGATATTATTTTTCGCAAGAGAATACTGTGACCATACGAGAAAAAATTTCATTTTTCAACAGTAGCAAGAAATATTTTAAGAACAACAGTTTCAAGCGTATTCCCCCCATAGGGACAGTTCGCACCCTATATTAAAACTTTCGAGGATATTTCTCGCAAAATGGACACTACAGAATAGCCATCAAGTATTAAAATTGTTGTTGAATAATTACTGCTAAAGCCATCGATGTGACAAAAACTACTCTCGAAAACAATTCTCAAAAAATTTTACTTCACAACGGAAAAATCAGAATAGAATACTCAACGGTTATTTTTCGTTTTTTAGTAAAGACATTGCTGGCCGAGAGTGAAAGTTCGACAATGTACAGAGCACCCTCGCGCCAAAGAAAGAAACTACTACAAAAACTCCGTCCAAATCGGTATCCTCGTTCCATATGAATGATAAGGGTTTTACGAAACGGTATATAAACGGCAAGGTGAACACGTATCTCCGCTCGAACGGAGTCCATATAGAAGTAAAATCAAGATGGGCGAAAAAAGAAACTCACCGTCTCGTCTTAACTCGACGATAACGGCGATAATCGGTGGCGTTTACGTCGTTGGGGTCGAAGCCCCTTCGATGCTTGGGCGGCGAGGACATAGTAGCAGCAGCTTTGGTACCGTTCGAGATCGCGTCCGGTTTGGCAGTAGTGTTGTTGCCGATCGAGCTGTAATTGTTCACGTTGTCGATGTGCAACGAGGCGAGTGGCGGCGGCGAAGGCGGCAGTTGGGCGGGGACCAGGTGGCCAGATGCTGAGATCACAGCGTCCGAAGCCGGGTGACACCGACAGGCCGGTGCTGGTGCTGTTGGCTCGTCGATTACGAGGGTCCTATCCCCGTGACCGACGTCGCTCTTTGGCACCGCGTTCAGCTCGTGCCTGTTAACCCTACCGGCTCCCGGCCCACCCATTCAAATCCTCGATTATCGCCCGTTCACTCCACCTCTCTCGCTCTGCCTCCGTGGCTGCTCCTCTCGCGAGCTCCTCTCGCGCTTATGGCCACGCTTTGCCTCGTCTCTCTCTTCCCTTTTCCGCTCTTCTTGCTGCCTCCTTTCGAAATTACGATTCGTAACCGACACCTCGACAATTGTTTCGTCCTTGGTCCCTCTCTCGGTCTCCTCGGTCGAATGTTTTGTAATTTGATCTCTTTTTCCCTCTTCTTCTCGCCCCACCTCGAAATGTTAGAACGCGCTCGGCAATCGACACTCGAATAATTCTCCCCTCTTTGACCCGTTTCTCGTTCTCCTCGGTGAAATGTTTTGAAATATGATCCCCTTCTTCCAACGATGAGCTCCAGATCGAATCGCCTTCAGTTGTCCTGCGGACGCGGCACATACGATAAGGACGGACGGGCCGTAACCCGATACTTTTGCCTCCTCTCGAATTCATACACGCACGCGACCACGGCTAAACCTATCGACACACCTCCGCCACTGCCAGACTCACGCACGTGCAACCCCATTCGCCCCAACTTTCGCGACGAATCTATTTTCGAGGGGCGATGTATCCAAGTGCACCTTCGTTTTTTTTGAACCACGGAACGGGAATGGAATGGATGAGAACGTTGTTTCGCGACAGGATGAGGGAAGGATCGAAGCTAGAGAAAGAGAGAGGCGGGAAGGAAGCTGTGACAACGTGTATAAGAGCGTCTACGCCAACGTCCAAACACGATCTTCCTTCCGTTCCGCGATCACGCCGACTCACTCCGCGCACCACACAACCAAGAAACTCTCGCCCTGTGCCTGATTTCGATGGATACCACCTGGCGGCAGCACCGGTAGACGCGACGCGGAACGACCAGTCGCGAGAAATTGGGCGAATCACGGGGAAGAAAGGTCGCAACGAAGCAAGGCCACTGTGTGTTCTCTCTCTACAGGGTGATCGAATAAAATAAATTGAAAATTTAAGAAGAGATTAAAATTGAAACATAAAAATTGTTACGTATATCTATTAAAAATTATTTATTAATTATTTATATCCATTCTTATTTTACTTTAAATAAAGTGAAATGGCAACAAAATAAGATATTCTATTTGCATCTTGCAAAATTATAACTTAATAGAATAACTTTAAAATTATAACTTAATAAATATATAAACCTTTTAAATATATTGCATACCAACTTTTATTTTTGTTTTAATTTTTTTAGAATCGTCTCTTAAATTTTCAATGCCTGAACACCTTGTATATAATTAAGTTACGATAAATTGAGCCAGAAAGGCGTTTCCAATTGCGCTTATCGAGCGTATCGGCTGATTTCTACCGAGCTTCAACGTGTCATGGTTCGAGAAACGCGAATGGAATTCTAATAAGGCTATGTTCGCGCCCAAAGCGTATGAATTCGTGCCAACTTTCTCTCGATTAGTCCCGCTTTCAACGTCCTTCCTGCCTAATTTCGAGGATCGAAGGTTCGAAAAGTGGAACAATCGAAGCCGAACCTTGAAACCTTTTAAATCGAGAACACGAAGAGGAATAATCGAAAAAATAATAATAATAATAGAAATAAAAAAAAATTAAAATAATTAAAATATTTAATCGTTAAATATCTAAAGTTATATCGTTATAAGTTATATCGTTAAGAAAAATCATTAAATTCCACAAAATTGTAAAAAATCTTTTCATCTTTTTTGAAAACGGACAGGTGAGACTACTCGATCCATTTACACCTAGTCTCGTGCAGTCATACGGCCGAACAATTAACCACCTTCCACGCCCTCCTCCTTCATCAGACCAAAATAGACATAGTTCTGAGAGTGGCCGCGTGGTGGCGACACGGAAAACAACGCACGAGACAGTTGCACCGGAAAACAAGGCGCAACAGACTGCGTGTCGAGGAATTCCTCTCGAGCCTGAACACCCCCTATCCAGACAAGAGAAAGAGGGCTCGAATCAGATCAAGCGAGGCAACGAAGAGGATCAAGTTTGGCATCGTCCAACGTTCAAACGAGATCAATCAATGATTACACCACGTGCTTGACCTACCGTGTTGATCGAACTGGTGGCCACCGTCCAGCATTGTTCGTATTAATTTACTGTTGACCATTACAAACGTTACCCTTCGCGTGTACAAGTACCTCGAACATTGCTTTCATGAAGATCGTTCACCCTCTCTGAACGAATTAATATCATGTCAACAACCTATCGTTATTTCGATTCGACTATTCCTTTCCATCCAAATACACAAAATATCGCGTTCTTGTTTCGACATCACGAGAATATTCTATATCGCGTCGCGAAATTTCGTT